CTGGCCATCTTTGCTCTTGCCTCACATGCTGAAAATATCTTTTTCACAAGAAAAATGATTTGTGTAGACGTAGTAGAAACATTCACTTTCTCGACATGTTAAATACATGATACACTTCATTCTTCAAGTAAATTGTTATGTACGTCATATACCTTCGTATACTGGATGCAACATCACTTTTTTGCCACCCCATACTGCATAACACATAGAGTTAGCCTGCTCTAATATTGTATGCAATGAGCCACCAACGCAGCCTATATTTTTTAAATGAACATGGAGTTGGCTCATGTTTGCCTTTGCATCATGAAAGAGTAAAAATTTAGTGCTTCCACCTTTAGATGTCACATATTGGCACTAGCACACATCCATATTTATTCATTTCTTCATGTGTGAACATCCCCACTCTCAAAATGAAACATCCTGATAATCTCAGCGGTCTTTCTCCTCTAAAAAGTAGGAAATACAGCGATGTTTATTTACACGATATATGAGTAGTTTGATAATGTTGAAAGTTGTGAATATTTTACCAAAATTTGCAACTTAAAATAGATATGAAGGTCCATCTATTAACACTTTCTGTTGAAAAAAATTGCTAAATGCAAAATATTGCTTTAGCAATTAGCAGAAAAAATGCATTTCTTTTTTCTGCTAATTTACAGTAGTACCTATAAATAAGAATGTAAATGTTTTGACACATTAGCCATGCATTTAGAGTGACTTTCATCTTCTATTTCAGCTACACCTAGATTTTCGGGTAGTACCTCAACAGGACGTCTATGATGGTGTCGCATACCCAATTATTATCATTTAGTGCATTCAAATCTCTTTTGTAAATGCTTATACCATCAAAACAAGCAACTCTGGAATCAAAATGAAAACATGACAAGAAGGAGTCATTCTTATTTTCTTTATACGTGTCTAAAATATGTTTTAAAACAAAAAACCTCTCATTTCCTCCATTCCAAGTTCTCCTAGAGAAAAAATAAAAAAATAAAAACATCTTAGTATACGTATGGCACAAAAGTTTAGAATCACTCAGATTTTTATTTGGCAAGAAATGATGGGAAAAAACCTGTAATTTAAACTTTTATGCAGCGTTGGGTTTCGAGTTTGTCGTTTGAAAGCAAACAGGTCCTTTATTTTACCACAAAAGCCACACTGCCTACTCCTTGCATAGCTTGGCAAACACACGGTAGATATATTTGGAAAACCTTGTACTTTGGACACCACACCTCCAACAATGCACTAAGTGCCCCAGCAATACACATGAAGTGTGTATCTTTCAAGTCAACATCTATGAACAAGTTAATTGAGCTTTTATCAGAAAGGCATGTTGTATCAAAATTAAGCTTGTGATCACTTTATTCAATTTAAAACCGTTGAATTAAATGGTGTGTACGGTGATTAATTTTATTATTTGATAATACCTTCTTCCAGGAAATTCTGAATTTCGGACACAATTTTCTTGCCTACAATTTCCATATTTGTTTGCCTGGTGTGCTATAATAATAATCAAATCTCAGTTCATTTGAACTATTAAGGATAAATCTATTTGTGAAATAATGTATCATTAGGTACATTTTTTAGTTAGAGCAAAAGTCACCTCTAGTGCTAAATGATGTTGATGGGAAATTCCGTACAGGAAGGCATCAAGTTTCAACCAGTCAGGATTCGTACTAAGCGCCTCAAAGATATTTCCTGGCTCACTGGCATCATAGCCTTGAGGCAAACCCATCGCAATTACAAGTAAAATGTTTTAGAAATAATTAAGTATAAACTTTAAATGTGAACCTTAATGCATGAGTTGCAGGTTGATGATGCTTTTTGGCAGATTGCAACAATTCCTGAGAAATTTCATAATTGTAGCTCATTTTTCCATCTTGAATCCAGAAACTATGCCACCTATTTCCCCCTAAAAAGATACATATGTACATTCGCTGGCACATATCCTCTGTCGTATAAAAACACTTTCTAAAAGTCTTTCTGAGAAGTAAGAATTACTATATTAATAGCGTATTGTTTATCTTGATACATATAGATCTTAACTTTCATCATGTGAAAACTCAAATTTACCTTTTCATACATATCTTTGATATTTAAGTCTGTGCTTTCGGTCTAAATTCAGAAATTGCACATAAGATTTGATGGTGAAAAAAAGATATCTAAATATTAACCTCATTCCTTTTCTTGTATCATGAAATGTTCCACTGGTCCATTTCGTCTTCTCCGTTTTCTTCTTCTTTAAGACATTTCTCTGTGTTGTGCTCGTAGTCCATATCTTCATCTTGAATTTCTTCTTCGTCAATATCTTCATGCTTCTTTTCTTGTTTGAACTCATCTGCTTTCTTCTCGTTTATTTCCTCTATTTCAGTTTCTTTTTCCATGTCCTGGTACTCTTCTTCGATGTTTCTTCATTAAACTGTACACATCAATGTATTAATAGCATGTGTAATAATCACATAAAGTGTGGAGAACATATTGTAAAAATACAATTGATGTATTCTTTTTAGGACAATTTATTTTCTTTTTTTACATTTTTTACATTTGATTATTCAAAGTATTATCTTACGTCTGTAATGTAATTCCAATAGGAAAGGACGATTACGGTTAGTTCTGCCTTGTTGAGAACTTTCCTGAAAATATTTTTATCGTTGTTGCCATCTGGAAGAATTGCAATCAATTTTAAACATGGTTTAGAAAACATAAATAAATAGACATAACCTAAAAGACATAAATCATTTTATTAAACCTAGTGGAATCTCTTTTCTTGCTGATGGTGAACAAAACGGTATGTGTAATGGCAAAAAAGATGGTTGTTCTGCTTTGGACCATAAATTTTTAATTCGGGCTACAGGCCATTTGTTTCTTCCCTTAGACCCTGTAGCAGTATAGAAATATTTGTCTCTGCTTATGTTTTACAAACAGGAAACTTATTTAAAAATCAAACATGTTTGTGCCTGAAAATGCTGATGAAGGAAGAACCGTATTAAGCACGAGGTTTCTGAGTTCTTCACACGGCCATGTCCCTCTTCTTGTTTCATCAAAAGCTTCAGGGTCGATTAAACCAAGTCAAACTCTTTTTGACTTCAATACATTTTCATTGCACGCTACATAGATATTTTAAACTTCACAATTGATCATATATACAGTGACATGCAAAAGTATTCAATACACTGGATAATTGTTAATATCTCACGTTCTAATCATTATTTTTTTATGAAAATTGCATGAAATATTCATGTTAGTGTAAGAAACAAAATCTCTGAAAAATATTGAAAAGCAATCAGTATTTTATAGTTTATTCAAAAAAACATCAAAATAAGTAACGCAAAAGTATTCAACACATCAATTTAGTATTTAGTTGCAAATCCTTTATTCTGTTTTACAGCAAGAAGTCTCTTCGCATAGTTCTCAGTGAACTTCTTGCATGTCTCAGGCGTTATTCGATTCAATTCTTCGAAGCAGAAAGTTTTCAAATCTTCCATATTTTTAGGATTCCGCTTGTGGACATTGATTTTGAGAATCCTCCACAAATTTTCAATTGGGTTTAGGTCAGGTGATTGGCTGGGCCATTTCATCACATCAATTTTGTTATCCGTAAACCATTTTTTCATTAGCTTTGAGGTGTGCTTTGGGTCATTGTCTTGTTGAAACACAAAACCACTTTCAAACTGGAAGGAATCAACGGATTTCTTAAGTTTTTCCGTCAAAATGTCTCCATACATAAGGGCATTCATACTTCCTTCTATGATCTTCAACTCTCCGACTCCATTCGAACAAAAACAAGCCCAAATCATTATACTACCCCCACCGAATTTAACTGTTGGGATAGTGTTTTTTGGAGCATGAGATTCTCCACTTTTTCTCCAAACCTTGTTAGCACCATTATGACCAAAAAGTTCTATTTTTGTCTCATCTTACCATACAACATTGTCCCAATACATATCTGGCTTCACTAGATATTCGTCGGCAAACTTCAATCGGTCAACAACATGTTTCTTCTTCAGAAGAGGAGTTTTTCTGGGGGACCTGGAGTGAATACCGGCTCAATAAATAGTACGACTGATGGTATCTTTGCTAACATTTACTTCAGCACCTTTTAACTGCTCTTGTATCTCTGAACGGGTTACAAATGGGTTCTGTTTCACTTTTTAAATGACCAACCTTTCACTTGAACCAGTAATCTTTCTTGGATGGCCTGTTCTGGGACCATTTAAATTAGAGTCACACTTCCTCCACTTTCTGATGATGCATCCCACTGTGTTTACATTCACATTTAAAGCCTGTGATATCTTCCTGTACCCATTCCCTTTTTGGTACAGTTCTACGATACGTTCACGCATGTCGTTACACAATTCCTTTGCTTTAACCATGGCTAAATAGTAAACACTAAGGGAAACTGAGTTCACGAATGGTTACAGAGGTATCACCGGCCATACTGACTTCAAAATAACGACGGGGATGCTGGTGATTGGTCAAATATTGTCATATTAATATGGAAATGAACCATGATGAGATGTTTGCAACAAAAAACTATAGTAATATGTTAACAACATTATGATAACATAATGTGTTGAATACTTTTGCCTTACTTATTTTGATGTTTTTTTGAGTAAACAATAAAATGACCCCAAATCATTTTCAATATATTTGCATACTGTATGACTGGCAACGTCCAACACATCTTCGCGCAATCCAGGACTTCCTACAACACAGAATGGGTTTATTTCAATACAGTTATACATATATATGTTCAAGTACTGAACTCAAGAATCAATAACCTGCTGTTCGAATATTTCCGTGCCCATTCAAATATTATAAAACAAGATGACCGATTTGATTAGTCTGGGACACTTGATCAATCTAAAATCATGAAATTACATAAAAAATTATAAAAAATACAAAATACAAAATACAAAAGAAAACTTACGTGCTTTACCAGACGCTTTCTCATTTTGTATGCATTCAAACTTTCATTTTTGCTGATTAACTCTTTCCTCTAAACGAATTATTATGTGACATAAACTTTATGCCAAAAAGAACAAATCATTATTATTGAAATATTTATCAACATAACAGGAAAGAGATTATATTATGTACCGGTCTCAGACTCTTTTTCACACGTGTCTCTCCCTGCGAATTTGTCTTCATTGTATTTTTCAAAGTTATAGTAGTATTCCTAATTTCACAAATTACAAAGATATTAACAATAAGCTACTCACATGAAGGTCAATAAATAAGTGGCTAAAACAAGATTCATATATTAAATATGCCCGTTTCCGGCATATGTCATTTACTAAACTGATTTTCCACAACTTTTTGCATAACTTGTGCCATTTATATACCTGCAGTACAAACACATGTACATTTCGTAAACACTTTCAGATACGAGGTAAAAAAACACCGTGAGTTGTGCATTGTCATATTAAGCATTCCCATTCCTACAATACTCTCAAGCTTGCATTGCTCTAAATTAAAACGTTTTTACAACCATGGTTATACAACTGTATATGCCGAAAACTGGCATACTTTATATTTCTACCACATTCTTCAAAACACTTCAATATGGAAAGGCATAGCTGTCTTAGGTCGTGCAAATTTATTTCAATGGGTGCTTTGACCATTATACGCGGTGCTTTAAGAATTATACGCGGTGCTTTAAGCATTATACGCGGTGCTTTGACCGTTATACGCGGTGCTTTGACCATCATACGCGGTGCTTTGACCATTATACGCGGTGCTTTGACCGTTATACGCGGTGCTTTGACCATTATACGCGGTGCTTTGACCATTATACGCGGTGCTTTGACCATTATACGCGGTGCTTTGACCATTATACGCGCTTTGACCATTATACGCTTTGACCATTATACGCTGTGCTTTGACCATTATACGCGGTGCTTTGACCATTATACGCGGTGCTTTGACCATTATACGCGGTGCTTTGACCATTATACGCGGTGCTTTGGCCATTATACGCGGTGCTTTGACCATTATACGCGGTGCTTTGGCCATTATATTTGGTGAGCCGCTATTGTTGGTCAGCGTTTCAGTTCACAAATTGCAATTTTCATATAAAGACTGATATTCTGATAAAGTCGTATCCTAAACACGTTGCTAAACATCACTGGAAAATAATTATTTAAGCGAAAAATGGAGGAAATATTGCAGTCATTGCAAATGGGAAATTTAGTAAGTCGTTTCCACGAACAAAGCATGGAGCCACCAGCTGTTCTGGCTGCGTCCGATTCAGAATTGTCTCGTCTCGGAGTTACCACAATTGGAGAGCGAATTCGCATTCGTGATGCGTGTAAAAAGAAATTAGATGAAACCGAACCTTCCACAAGCCGAACAAACGACATCCTTCAAGAGCGACTATCGCTTTTTAACCAACGAAGGTCTAATAGTCGCAATAGCACACCTGCTGCATCTAGAAACGCGACTGGGAATATTCGTAAGCGTTCATTATCGAAGACCATCCATGGACACCGACTTTTGTCTGCTTGGCTGAGCATCTCGCTCGCAAAGCACCATCGTCGCTGGACAAGGAGATCCTTTTTAAGGCTGGGTTAGGAGTAAAAAAGATAAAACTCGATATGGAAGATGATGAAGAAAATGTTGTCAGTAAATTAACATCAAATTCCCTGGACGACAATGGAAGTCATTTAGGTTTTCCTCAACTTAAGACATGTGGTGGCTTTGAAATGATGCGTTGTGCCCCCAAATGTCGTGATTTGGCCGTGCTCGATTGCTCATGGGGTGCAAAGGACCTTCGTGCAAATTTGGGTGGTGGTCAAGGTAAGATATATTTACGACCAATTCAAATGTCTTTGTCCAAAGAGCCATTGGTCCAGCAAAGCCAATCTGAAGTTAAGGAGCGATGCAAAATGTGCAACCAGGAGATTCTTGCTCGTCGGCTTCGGAGCCATTTATGGTCATGTATGGAAGGACTGGACACTAGTGATGAAGATGGCCAAGACGCTGAACCTGGTCAGTTTGCTCAGGAGGAAAGTCGAGAATTTGTTATATCTGGTCAAGCACCATCCTCTAGCAACTCCTTAATGTCACTTCCTGCATCATCTGAAGCATCTTTGTCACATACCGAAACAGAGACAATAGCAAGTGTACCAACCACCTTACAAATGTCTAGTGAGGTCATCGACCTCACAGTAAAAGAGTCAGAGATCTCTCACATGGATAAGATTGTCGACGACATTGTCAATGATACAGTAGCCTATTGTGAACAATATAATGTATTGAGTGCTGTTGAAATATTGCGCTGTTTCCAAAAGAAGATGGTAACTGGCAGAGATTTAGAAGTTCAAGCTTTAGATGAAGTGAATGAAGGGGATACCAACTTTATAATGATTGACCGTGGCAATGTTTTGAAGACAGCCTTGGATGAAATATTGTGCGTAACAGATTATCGGAAAACATTGCAAGTTGAATTTTATGGGGAAGTATGTCTTGTTTGCATTTGAGACATTGATTATTTGTGAGATACAGTACAATAATGCATATTTCAATTAGGTTGCTGTAGACCAGGGTGGACCAAGGAAGGAATTTTTTTGACTGGTGTTAAAAGAAATTTAGGAGAAATTCTTTGATAATGGACTACGCAATTTGCTGAGTGAGCAATATGTTGGAGTTGGCATAGTATTAGGTGATGCACGTTTCATTACTTTCACAAGAAAATAATTATCTAAAGAATTAGTAGGAAAATTTTTATTGCAAAACATTCTTAAAAATGACCTGTCCATTACTTTTGTTCACTTAAGGATTGAGTATTATTCAAAATGGTAAAATACCAACTTTCATTGGTGATTTATGTGGCACAATATTCTTTTCTGAGCAAACATCAGAACCATGCATCACAGAGCTACGAGGAGGTTTGAAGAAAGTTGGCATCTTTCAAGTAAGAATGTTTGCAATACTAATTATATGAGCACAATTATTTCAGAGATTATTTCATCTTCTGTAGATAAAATAAGCAAAGACATGCAGTTATCTTGTGTTTTTTTTCAAGAACACAAATTTTTTCTATTTTGGCAAGTTTTACTTTTGTTAAAATTTTTAGCTTGGCTTTAAACTAAAAGAATTTTTGAGTCTTCTTCAACCATGTCATACTGAAACTTTGACGATCAGGAAGTTGACAAGCTTGCTACGAGCAAATTTTAGTGATCAAGGCTCAAATAAAAGAACTTTTGAAAATCAAATATATTCAGAGTTCATGAAATATATAAGACAAGTAGCAAGTAAGTAAAGAGAGGTAGTCACTTTTGATGGTTTTTAAATTACCTCACAATTACATATTGATACTTATATAATTGTGATATTCAATTGAGATAGAAGAAATTTAGGTTTGTGTGACATTTCAACTTTAGGTGGAAGACGGGGAGATATCACATTGCAGCACATATTGATGTTTGTGACATGTGCAGATGAGGAGCCACCCCTGGGTTTTACTATACCACCAAGCATAACATTTGTTCCTGCACAAGAAGATGGCAAGTTTGTTCCAACAGCTAATACATGTATCTGTGCACTTAATCTTCCACATGCCACAACCTTAATTCCTCTACCTACGCCTGATAGACTTTTCTCATTATATGACTATGCATTTGCAAATGCCTTCTTTGGAAATATGTAAAACCATGTAAACAATGCAGTGGAATTTTTCATTAAAACCATTTGATGTGTTCTTTGTTTTATGTAACATATTTTAACAAGCTTTTGATTGCTGGTCTGCAGTCTGATATTGCCTACACATGAAAAACTGTAAAGTGACAAGAGAAAGCATGTGACACTTATTATCTTAAAAAAGTGAACTCATGAGCAAGGGTAGTTTGTTTGTGTAATTTAACTAATAATACATTATAAAGTACATTAGTTTGTTTAACTATTGTTTGTTTAAAATTCCATTTGTAACACATATAATTAATGAAATTTCAAACATGCCTTTTGATGATATCTAATGCTGCCAGATAATCGTGAATGCCATGGTTTAACAAAGTCCAGTTTGAAGAAGTCCCGTTCAGTTCCTGTAGACAAGCTGCAGGCAATGAAGATAGCAAAGGTAATACAATTGGTCGTTCTCCTTGTATTTGCTCCTCCTCCTTGTATTTGCTCCTCGTCTTCATCTTCAAGATCACCATTACTTCCTATTCTGTCTACGTAATTTCTTGAGCCCACTGGATTTTGAAATTGACCTGCAAGCCACATTTGTACAGGGGTTGCTCTAGTTGTTCGCATGCGATGATGAGCCCAAGCCATTCTCCAAGTGTCTAGCTTTACATTCACAAAAGGCAAATAAACATAATGCAAAGCTGCCAAATGTGATTCAATTAATGGATCAAGCCCACGTTCTCCTTCCAAGAAATAAAAAAGTTGATAGAAATAACTGAGCACACCATCATAGACATCCCTCCATAATCTTTCAATTCGCTGGTTGTGTGTGCTCTTCCCTGCAATAACACTTGCCCGACCAGTCCCTCTCTTCTCAATCATGTATTGTGCAATCCCAGCATTTTCAAGACCCTTGTCTATCCTAATTCTGCTAGGCAAGCCATATTCCTGTACAGCATGACAAAAGCAGGTCAAGACAGTATTTGCTTTATTGTTGTCTGAACATTTTAGCATGACAGGTAAGTGACTAAAACCATCAATCCCTCCAATAATTATCATATTCCAACGAATAAGTTTGTGGTTTGAGTCTATGTGCCATAGGTGGTTTGGCCCGTGGACGTGATAGACCCTTCTTTGCAGCCTTCCCCTTTTTCTTTGAGCAACGCCCTCCTCGTCAATCCTATGTATGCTATCACGTAAACGCCACCGCTGTACTTTAATACCCTTTCCAATAAGGATCTGCTTTACCATGCTCTCGCCGCAATGGGGAAACTCTTGGCCGATCTTAGCAATTTGTTCATCCAAATCCTCGTCCATAATAACAGAGAATTCATTCTTACAGAGGCCAAATTTTCTCATTCGCCGGTATAATGTGCTCTCAGAAACTGAAAGTAGTTTTGCAATTTCTGCTATCGTGAAATCTTGTTCCAAATAGCCTTCAAGGAGAAGCTTAGGTATATTAAACTGTAGTGCTTCGTATTAACCAGGACAAGCAGACAATTTCAAATAATACAAAATAAAGCAAATTCCGAAGAGGGACATCTCGTTTTCTTGATATTCAAGATATTACAAGAGTTTGAAACAAAATAATGTGTAATATTTCGTCTTTATTCCAAAGACATCATCAGACTTATGGTTTACAATGCAGGCTGCAAAACTTTTATATATTTACAAGCGGAAATGGCAGTTATGTAATTAGAGAACTATAAGACTAAAATATACTAACATTAAAATAGAGATAGTTTCTTACAAGCTTTAAGACCACTATTAAGTTGTGGCATATCGTTTTATCAAAAGCTTCTAAGATGAGAAGTTGATTAGGATTATTATTTTACAGTGATATAATATTTTGGTATTACTAGGAATCAAGTTACAAGGATTGAGTGGCACGTGTGTGAGATCGAGGTCGGAATCAGCGTCAGGAAGTGAGAAAAGGTGTGAGATGTAGTTGGCGTCTGGACAAATGAGTAAATGTTGTGAGATGGCACTAGAATTATTGTAATTAGTAGCATGTTGGGTTAGTCTTGTGTGTAGGTTTCGTTCAGTTTTGCCAATGTATGTATGACCACAGCCTGGACATTTAAATTCATATATAACATTGGCTTTAGAGAGTTCGAATTTTGTCCTTTTGGGACAGAAAATTGATGTCTTTTGTTTCATATATAACTATAGGTTTGATGGGAATTTTTAAGCTATTTTACGAAGAAGATTGAAAACCAAACGTTCACCCTGTTTGCCTAGATATGGTATTCTAATGAAAATTTTACGAAGGTCATTCTCAGTATTTTGTTTAGAGGGTTATTTTTAGCTATGATTTTGGTTTTGAGTTTGTGAATCAAGAATTTCGGACTGTAAGAAACCATTCCATGACATAAAAGACTGGAGTGTTTGAATTTGTTTTTGAATAATGTTTGGTTAGAGCAAATCTTAAATGCGAAAAATAGGAATTGATCCAAGTAGTTTTGCAGTTGAATATATCGATGTCTTGAAAAATGTCATATTGGCCAATATACACATTTTCAAGTTTCGAACCTTTCAACCAAAACTACTTGGATCAATTCCCTATTTTTCGCGATTTAAGATTTGCTCTAACCAAACATTATTCAAAAACAAATTCAAACACTCCAGTCTTTTATGTCATGGAATGGTTTCCTCTTACAGTCCGGAAATTCTTGATTCACAAACTCAAAACCAAAATCATAGCTAAAAATAACCCTCTAAACAAAATACTGAGAATGACCTTCGTAAAATTTTCATTAGAATACCATATCTAGGCAAACAGGGTGAACGTTTGGTTTTCAATCTTCTTCGTAAAATTCGCCGTAGCTTAAAATTCCCATCAAACCTATAGTTATATATGAAACAAAAGACATCAATTTTCTGTCCCAAAAGGACAAAATTCGAACTCTCTAAAGTCAATGTTATATATGAATTTAAATGTCCAGGCTGTGGTCATACATACATTGGCAAACTGAAACCTACACACAAGACTAACCCAACATGCTACTAATTACAATAATTCTAGTGCCATCTCACAACATTTACTCATTTGTCCAGACGCCAACTACATCTCACACCTTTCTCACTTCCTGACGCTGATTCCGACCTCGATCTCACACACTCAATCCTTGTAACTTGATTCCTAGTAATACCAAAATATTATATCACTGTAAAAATAATAATCCTAATCAACTTCTCATCTTAGAAGCTTTGATGCGATATGCCACAACTTAATAGTGGTCTTAAAGCTTGTAAGAAACTATCTCTATTTTAATGTTAGTATATTTTAGTCTTATAGTTCTCTAATTACATAACTGCCATTTCCGCTTGTAAATATATAAAAGTTTCGCAGCCTGCATTGTAAACCATAAGTCTGATGATGTCTTTGGAATAAAGACGAAATATTACACATTATTTTGTTTCAAACTCTTGTAATATCTTGAATATCAAGAAAACGAGATGTCCCTCTTCGGAATTTGCTTTATTTTGTGCTCCGTATTCATTCCGTGTTCTAGTTGGTGGTTCGCTCAATCCACATTTCAAACACTCTACTCGTATTGACATAATGTCGGGATGGTTTTGGATCCCTAACTCTTTGAAATCATTGAGAGAAAGCTTACAAACTAAGTCCGGCATTATTTTCTCTGAAGTAAATCGCTCCTCAAAGTGATCCAGTCGCAACTTTTGCAAAATAAATGACATTTTGGACTCCATTTTGAAATTATGAAAAAAATAAAATGAAGGATTTATAAACTGATGCGTCACCGCTGACCAGCAATAGCGGCTCACCGAATATAATGGTCAAAGCACCGCGTATAACGGTCAAAGCACCGCGTATAATGGTCAAAGCACCGCG